TGCACAGGAGCACCGCAAAAGTAGACTGGTTGCTGTCTGCTTCAATTTGCCTCCCGGAAGTCGCATAGACACTAGCGCCAGTTGAACCTCTAGCGTACATTATAATAACTCTATGGTCGGAGGAAAGCAGGCTTGCAGGTCAAGAGGGCAGTCTATATATGAACTACGCTGAGCATTTGTTTCTTGTTGCTGCGCGGCTGCTGGAGCGAGCTTCCAAAGCGTTCATTTGACACCATGAAACTGTTTGTAATCAGTTGGGAACAATGTCTACAGTCCAAAGGGTGAACCCCTGCTTTCCACTGACGTCACTTTTTCATTGTTGCCAGTAGAGACTTTTACATTGAAAAACATGGTGAGGACCAAAAATATAAATTTAACTTTGCGGGAAAAAAAGAAAATATTTTGGCCCAATATTTGGGTTACTATTTCAGCTTTGTTTGTCAATATGTTTAGCAAATTTTTAGGTGAATCAGGGACTATAAAGAAAATGCCTGAGTACCCCTTTAAGCAGGGACGTTGGCTCGTCCGTGCAATTTATTCCCTTTCCCACATTCCTCAGGGACCACATGGTTGTGTTTTGTGTGATCGAGTAAATAAAAAGTGGATATGCATAAAAGTTGGTGTTACTAAGTGTAATAGCAGCTATTGGTGTCAAATCTTTGCATGCTGTGACGAAAAGCTGCTGATTTTTTTCAAGCATTATATTGGTGGATCTGAGCCATCCATTGATCTACATAGCCAATGTAGGTGATGATACTGTATCTGCAGGTTTAATATTTTGTGGAATTTTCAAAATGCTGCTTTTTGGAGAATTTCAGTCGGGAGTAAACTGGTCATTGGGTGCCGTTTTAGGGTATGTGATTGATATAGTCGGGCTATAAATTTCTTCATATTTCTTCTCTATTTGTGGAATTTGAGACAATGGGATAACCCCAAAAATATGAGGAATTTTCAGCATGTGCCACATGTGTGCTGGTATGTCCGTCATTGTTTACAAGGCCTCTGGGTTTCTGCTCTGCTGATGATGTGTCTCTCAGGATCACAAAGCTCGAGAATCCCTTCACTTACATATAGTAGAACATCTATATAGCGAAGATATGGATGTTGCAAAACTAAATCAAAGTAAATATCGTAAGGGTGCAGGTGAGCTGGTGATTATTAACCATGTTGGATTGACCTGAGACTGGGGTAGAGAAGAAACATCAAAACGTAGAAGTGACAGAAAATAGACAGGACGACGTCTCAAACTCAGGTAACTCATTTATTTAGTCCACCTCCTTATATAGTCTCAATCTCAAGGTCACCTCCACCAACACAAAAAAACAAAGTTTATACAGTTCAAGCGCCACAGTCTTTATCACATAATGGAAGAATGTGGACAACCTTGCAGGTTGACACTGTAGTGCAACATCCATCCACCTTCAAACTTGAACATAATCTCTTCCCCTTCTATTCTAAACACAGTTCCACCTCTGATTCAAAAAGCGCCCTCTCCACATACCACTATTACAACAAAAAAAATAAAAATAAAAGAACCCACACTTACATTGAAACGTTTCTAGCGCCAATGCATGTCGAAGACAAAAAAAAAATGTTTTACAGTTCTTTTGGGCAATCCCAAAACTCGAAAATCGCAAAACATACTCATGTATGTAACAACTGCACAGCACTGTGGTCGGAGACTGAAATCATGCATGAAAGAGAGGAACAATGTAAAGAGAGTAGTTAGGGAGACTATGCGGATAAAATCTCTGGGCAACTGTAAGTCAGGCTTCGCTACAGTTCGGAAGCAATTCAAAAAGTTTTCTAAAGATGTAATGTCTTTTCTTTTTTTTATGTTCGATCTGGGTCGTTTGAAGTGCGACCCTGATTGTGATTGTCCAAAAAAACTGTAAAACACACTTCATTTTTTTTTTAGTTTTTTTTTTACATGTGTTGGTTCAAAAATTGTTTCGGTGTAACTGTTTTTTTGTTTTTTTTTTTTGTAGTAGTAGTAGTATGGTGGAGAGGGCTTTTTTTGAATCAGAAGTGGAACTGTGTTTAGAGTAGAAGGGGAAGAGATCCTTTTGTTCAAGATTGAAAGTGGATGGATGTTGATTTATCGCGTCAACCTGTAAGGTTGTTCACATTCTTCCATTGTGTGATGGAGACTGCGGCGCTTGAACTTGAACATTGCGCGCAGAATCTAAAATAAATCTTGTGCCGTCAATATTGCTCTAAAATTTTTTTTTTGCATAAAATTTATTTTTTGACGTGCATGTCTCTACCAGGCTGTTTAAAAAAAATAACTTTTTTCTTTTCTGTGGTTTTGTGAGGGGACGTGCACTAGAGGAAAAATTTATTTTTAAATATTTACCGTAAAATACCGAGCAAGGGGCCCATGTCACATTAAGGGCCCAACCCCTATTTTGGAACGATTTCAAAAACAAACAGGACACATCAACCGCCCACCCCCCATTTTAGGCAAATTTCGAAAAATATGCAAAGGACATGGCAAGCGCCAGTCGCCGCGGACGGCCGTTATCTCCTGAAATTGAAGCGACCGGCACAAGTTACGAGTCACGACAGCGCGGACGAAGGGGGCGAAGGGCGCCGCGGGAATTAGGCGAAGGGCTCCGGCGCAACACGGCAACACTGCGGCGCCGCGGGAGTCGAGGTCAAATGGCAGAAATTACAAGATACAGGCGAGCCGGTGTGCAAAGGAAGAGAGGCAAGGGCACGGTGGCAAGAGTGAAGCAGTGAAGATACACTACGTTGGAAAGGAGGATCTAGCGAATGGAGAGCGGCACAGAGCTTAGCGCGTGTGCTGCACACGTGCCGCCGCCATTTTGAATTTGGCGGTCGGGCCGAGCAAGGGCCCACCCGACTATGCGATCCTTCTGCGTTTTTGCTCTCGGACCTAACAAGCGCCCATCCCCGAGTTTTCCGCGATTATCCCATAATTTTTAGTGGGCGCTTGCTCGGTATTTTACGGTATAATGTTAAATTTTTAAATTAAAATTTTGTAGTTTAAGGTGCTTAACCTTCTCTTTTAAATTTGGTGTTAGATTTTTTATAGCTTGTTTTATTAAGTACTCAGTGCAATGTACATGCAGAAAAAGCATGTTCTTGTGCACATGTCAGGCTTGGCAACACACTTAAAAAGCCTAGTAAAATAAACTAATTCATTCCTTTTAAATCACTGGGTGCAGTGAACAACAGAAATAATGTGTGCGACGCTTCTTTTATTTTAAAGTAATTAAAGAGAGAAAAAATGCCATTTTAAGGTGCTAAGAAACATTTCTTAAATTTTTAATAAATATAAAAAAAATACATTCTGACTAACCTAGATAGTTGCATTCTACATATTATAAAGTATATGCATGCCAAATTTGGTTGTGGTAGGACAATATTATGAACTAGGGGTGTGCAAATATTCGAGATTTTGAATATGAGTCAAATAGTTTTCTTATTCGATTCGACAATTGCATATTCGGAAATTTCCGAATATTTAGTTATGGCCGAATATTCAGGCAGTGTAAGAATAATCGGGTGGGTAGCGAATAATTCATGCATGGGACATTTCCTGAACATTCAGAGCTTCGTTAAAAGCTGTGTTTATTCGCCTAAAATTGTAGGTATTGTAGTCATTTTTTCATAAACCCTTGCCGTTTACGTTATAAGTAGAGCGAGGTATGTATTAACTCACGACAAAGGAGGAGTTTTAATTTTTGTTTTGCCAAGCCTACTGTGCAAAGAACTTTTCTAGCGACCATATTTTTCTGCTGCAGGAGCAGGGATATTTTCTGCTGCAGGTGCAGTTGTCACTGTGAAAAAGGAGCACTTATGTATTGAACGTTTGGAACAATTATTTTCTTGGATGATAATTTGCTATAATTGCATTAGCAGCTGATATCTAACTTGCTGGCTAGTCAAGGGCAATTTCAATTATTTTCTTTAAAAAAGCCACTACCATTTGTTTGTGTGACAACACTATAGGTTGCATTTTTACATACTATCGAGACAAGTGCAGTCATATACACTCTTAATTTTGTCAATTTGTATAACTGATCAGTCTCACCTTTTGCTTGCTTTCATGTACAGTTGACAGGTAATTACTAGTCAAGGTGTAATAGCTGTGTTGCCAGTTGTATTGTCTATGTGCTGCCTAGTCAGGTAGTTTCATTTACTTGCATTTGTTAACATCATTTTCACTTTTAAAGGTAATAAAGAAAGTATTTGCTTTTTTTTTTGTTATCTGTTAATGGTACACACATATTCAATATTTGAAGCTATTTTTTTCTAATATTTGTATTAGATTCATAGTTGAAAAGTTCAATATTTGCTAACCCTGATTAAAAACAAATTTTTGTGCACGAACTGTGAAGATGCTCAAAATTACATAAAAATAAAAACGTGTTTGAATGTTACCATAGATGTGTAGCTATGCTCTTTCGTGGTGCGGAAAATAATATTTTGTTTATAAATTTCTATGAGAAATTGAAGCTAGAGAAGACTGGCAATGGAGAGGAGATAGCTAGGCCTAGTTGTCAGCGTAAATGTGACGACGGGCAACGTGACAACTTGAGAAACCACGAAGAGAAAAATAGCTCAGATTCATGCCGTTCTGGGTTACCTGGATGTCTTAAAATGCGTATTTGGCTAATTTCGCGATCATAACCGACCCTAATTATTTTTATAGACCGACACGTTGTTTACAAACAAGCCCGCATTTGCCCACACCAGGTGTGGGCACTGCGCATGCGCAGAAACCGAATTCGAGTGAACTGAAGCTTCTGCGCATGCGCAGTGCCGTCGACAGCGCCACCGCAGCTGCGTGACGTCAGGGACGCGTGTTGGTCTATACATCAAATATAAAGATTCAAATATAACAAGACATTGTAAAATCCCAATAAAATTTTTTGCAAAATACTGTACTAGTTTTTTTTTCTACATCTTTCCTTAAAGTTTCATCAAGACACTGTTTTTTAATCAGTCAATTGGTCATTCTCCCCCTGCAGATGAAGCCGTTTCTGTGCGACCAGTGCGGCCACCGCTACACGAGCCGTGGCAGCCTGACCAAGCATAAGCGCACCCACGACTTTGCGAACGCCAGCCGCTGCCCGCACTGTGGCAAGGAGTTTGCCACCCTCGACTACATGCGCAACCACGAGCGCCTAGTCCACACCCGCGACTTCAAGTTCCCCTGCCGGTGAGTCCGCCCCCTCCGCGATCCTCTGTGTCCAGCATGATTAAGATAAATTTGTAGAAATGCAACTTTATGTGAAGGTTAATTACACTTTCAGCTCGGGTAACTTCAACAGTACCTCGCGAGAGTGACTCTCATGTCTTCTGGCGACTACATGGTACAGGCTGTGCGGGCATCGGTTCCCCAACGAGCGCAAGCAGCAGACTCATATGGCAGTGGTGCACGAGCAGGAGCTGTCGGCCGAGGAGCTGGCCTCCCTGACGCGGGTGCGCCACCAGCGCTGCCCGGACTGCCCCTTCGCCACGTACAGTGCCCTGCAGTTCCGGCAGCACAGGGCCACTCACACGGGCCGCTACCCGTTTGCTTGTACCCACTGCACCAGGGCCTTTGCCTTCCGGTCAGTGAATGATTTTTGCCCTCCAGTCAGTGAATGGTCTGCTTTCTGGTCAGTGAACGATCTTTGCCTTTTGGTCAGTGAACAGTCTTTGGCTCCTGGTCAAAGAGCGGGCTTTACTTTATGTTTAGTGAACAGTCTTCGCCTTCTGGTCATGATACAGTCTGTCTTGCAGTCAGTAAATGGTGTTTACCTTACGGTCAGTGAATGGTCTTTGCATTCTGACCAGTGAGTAGTCTTTGCCTATTCCTTCATGGAACAGTCTTTGTCTTGTGGTCAGTGAAGAGTCTTTTCCTTTCAGTCAGTGAACAGTCTTTTTCTTTCTGTCAGAGAGCAGTCTTTATCTTGTAGTCAGTGAACAGTCTTTTCCTTGATTTGAGAGACCAGTCTTTGCCTTGGGGTCAGTGCACGGTTTTCGTCTTGCAGTCGGTAAACGGTCTCTGCTTTGTAGTGAGTGAACGGTCTTTGTCTTGCAGTGAGTGAATAATTTTTGCCTTGCAGTCAGTGAAAGGTCTTTGCCATCGATCAGCGAACGGCTTTTGCATCAGTGAGCAGCACTTGCCTTCTACTCGAGAGACGCCTTCGTGAGCGATTTGAAAAGCAGGAGGGTAACGACGGGAGCTGAGTGAAATGAATTGTAAGCATTGACATTAGTGGTACAAAAAGTACAAGATGTCGAATACAACAAGGACCGAGACAAAAAAACGACAACACGAGACAACTTGTGTTGTCTTGCTTCGTCTTACTTCGTCAAACCGATTGACTCGCTTTCTGTTGCTGCTGAGCCCAGAACTCTTGTTTTGCACCCATGTCCCTCGCTCCTTCCTCTTCACCTTGCTGTGCTACGCATTGTAGGGTGCGACGAAGTTCGGCACAAAGCCTGCAATCAAAAGTCGTCAGAGTACCATATTTTTAGGTCTATAGTCCGCACTCTGTGTGTAGCCTGCAAAAACAAATTTCGGTTTAAAAAAAAGTTTTTCCTTAGATGCAGTTTGCGTCCGGTGCATAGATCACACACATATACAGCACACCTTGCAAATTGCTTGCTTTATTAGTGCACAGAAGAGGCTGTACCGTACAAAACCATTGCTTACATATCCTGTCGTTCATAAAATCCACAACATACCGTCATATTGAACAATCCCAAAACGACTCCTCGTATAGTCCGCACGGCATAAAATTTCTAATTTCGAACATGTGTTGTCCAAGGACTATAGTCTGGAAAATATGATACTCATGGTGGCGCCTTGCTGCCGCTGAGCACACAATAAGAAAAGTGTCCACTCCAAGAGCAGTCGCTGATTGCACACTTCGTCGAGGCATACTTTCGGACTCCGACGCAAAAAAGCCAGGAGCTAGCCCAGCAAATGCCGCGCATTCGAAGTATCCTGCATTATCACTGCCTTTGCCACGATAGCTCGGGAAAGGGGGCAAACTCTCGTCCATGACTGAACACAAGTGCGTAGCGACCTGACATTGCTTCGTGGCCCCCTCCATGGTGGAGCCCAGGTTCCAGTTGACGCTGCACGTGCGGCGCCACCACCGGCAGGGCGGGCCCCTGGCCTGCCCCCACTGCCCCCGGCGCTTCGTGGCGGAGGAGACGCACAAGGCGCATGTGGCGCTGCATGGGGCGCCCCATGCGGTGAGCCTGATGTGCACCGACTGCAACTGCCTGTACGAGACCCCCCGACTGCTGGACAAGCACCGTGCGGCGCTGCACGGCAAGGGGGAGCCCCGCTACGCCTGCCGCAGCTGTTCTAAGCGCTTCCGCACCGCTGGGGGCATGGCCGCCCACTACAGGTAAGGCCGCACCAGATTGTTGCGAGCGGATCAGAGTCGGTTGACGAGCTTCCAAGAATGCCTAAGGCTTTTCCGTGGCGAATCCGCTCGGTAGTGCTCGCCATGCTATTGTCCCGCCTTTCTGAACTGGTGGAACGTGGGACGCACATTGCTTGCTGTGGAAAGTGATTCTACCGTGGTTTTTACGATAAATATAAAGCTTGCGCTAAAGTTTGCGCAGAAAGAGAGTCGTTCAAGAACGGTCCTTCTCCAATGACCGCGGAGGCTTTGCCACTGGTGGCACTAGGGACGCTGTCTGTCCGTACCTGTTCTTGTGCTGGTAAAATAGAAGAACCGTTTTTGAACGACTCTCATCCGTGGAGCTTGTAAACTGATGGATCTAAGAATGTCGCACCAGATTGTGTTTACAGGTGTTTGCACATGCTATTTGGATGTAATTTTTTTTATATAAACCAATAAACAGGGTGCAATGAAACATTTCCCAAACGAGCTGCAGAGCAACAAATACACGTCAGCGAAGTGGATTTTTTCCCGCAAATTGACATGGCAAGCGTGCCCGTGATTGAATCGGCGGGGCTCGTGTCAAGCACCAGGAAACGTTGTACAACCTCCGAGGGCCCACCACGTCGGTGATCAAGTCGGCGTTGGAGATGGTTGCCCCACTGAACATCAAACTGCCGAACGTGAAACCAAATCCACCTCCCGAAAGCTGAAGTCAAAGCGTTCAGGGACATCAAGGCAAAAGAGTGGAAATCTGTTTCTGTTGTGCGTGGAATTCTTTCCTGTGGCAGTGTACGCAGCCCGGCACCCCGGAACCCCAGCTGTTTTAGCAAGAACAGTAGACACAGAAAAGATATATCTTTGAAAGTAAAGTCACCCATGGCTGCGAAAAGCAGATCGAGGTCGCGTGTTTGCAGTGCCATTGAGAAGCAACGAACAGTGATCGCTACAGGCGAAACGGGAAAAAAATGTTCCTCTTTGGAGTGTCAGGAGAGCGCCGTGACCGACTCAGGTCAGCGTCCGGCAGAAAGAATGCACGCAACAAGCTCCGAATGTGCGCACAGGATCGTGATTAATTAAACTAGTTTGAATTGTACCACATTAAATTTATGTTCTTTCTTATCATTATTTAAACCTGGTCGTCAGCAGTCCAGCCTTTCCCCCCCCACGAAGGGTAGGCTCCGAAATTCACTGATCCGAGAAATCTGTATTTAAATTGTTGACTTGTGCTTCAAACTCACCTGTAGTCTTGTGCGAATAGTGGATTTTGAGTTCGAAGCGAATAGTGCTTTTGGCCGAATATTTTCTATTCGAATATCGAATATTTTTTTTACGCCTTTCACTACTTTAGCATAATGCTTCGCCGAAAACCCAGCTAAACTTGTGAAGGTTGTTCCATTGGTTTATTTATAAGCCAAGTTTAATCTATCTATATTTAGGATTAACTGTGACCTCAGAAGGTCTGATGTCTTGGGATGGGAAGTAAAAGAGGGTTTGACATAAAATGAATCCTATAGAAATGGCAAACTATACCCAATTAAGTGAATTTACAAATCTTAAATTTTCTTTCTTTAATTTCGAGTTAAAAAAGAATGAATTGTGCATGATGAACGCAGGTTGTAAGGGCATCTCTGCCTAACATATACTCTTGCACAACAGTCAGTTTAATTTTGAAACTTTTACTACAGTGTAGATACTGTAAAACCCTCAATGTTCGTGAGCCCTTAATTTTTGCAAATTAAAAAAAATCGCAAAATTTAAAGGCACACGAAAATTTTGGTTTTAAGGAATTTCAATGCAGGTCTCTTGAATTCGCGAAATTTAGTGGCCGCGACTATGTCCTCTGTGACCGATTCGCGGAAAATAGGGGCCGCGGAAATAAAGGGTTTTACAGTATACATATTAGCAAAGTTTCCATTTATTTTCAAATACAGCCGGCACGCGTGCACCATCCCGCCTTGAATGTGTTTCCAAGTGTTTATTGCGGCGGGTTACCCCGTTGAGTGCGCTTCTTACCGAGCACCGATGTAATGCGGAGAAGCAACACCCGCGGAGCTCGCTTCTACAGGTACTGCTTCTCCGCAGTGCACCGGTGCTCGGTAAAAAGCGCACTCAACGGGGTAACCCGCCACAGTCAACACTTAAAAAAACGCGAATAGTGCAGTTCTTCTCGAAGCGAATATCGAATAAAGTATAATTCGAAACTACTATTCAAAATTTAAAATATTCGCACAACCCTACCCACCTGTAATCTTTTGTATGAACTCTTATTTTTCACGAATTCCTGCCACAGTGCTTTCTCTTCAAAGACTTCCTACATTTTTCGACCCCTTGCTTGCCCTTGTTTGAAATCGGCAACGTCCTCTCTTTCTCTACTCCCGTTACGGTGATTTTGTATATTTAGCGCCCTGTAAAATAAAAAAAAATATTGCAAAGCATTTTTGAAGGGCCGGATCGGACCGATTAGGAGCCTTGATATGTGAAAGTTAGAAGAAAAATTAAGATGGCCTTCATTTTAAACTGATTTTTCAATTATTTCAAAATCGGTAACCTGTTTACATTTCAGTGTATTTTTTTAGAAAGGTTATCGTTTTCAATTTCAATGACAATTTATGCGAATATAGAACCATTCAAATGATGTTAACAAATTTGAATTTTTGGTCTTTTGAGGTTTGGATCTATAAAGCTCTGAATGCTTCGTAATCGATAATACATGTTTACCTCCTTTTATTTTATGTACAGCCTTTGCACAAAAAATATTAAACCTAAGTCGACAACAGTTTTTCTTTTATAAATATCCAAAAGGACGGTTTCACGCAAGTTGCAAAAACGTGCGCGTATACCAACAGCGGCTTTGTGATTTTGTTCCTCAAGAGAAATTTTATTTTTGCGCCAAAAAAGTTTGAATATGTTTTTGCGTTGCACAACAAGTAAACTGTATCTTTCGGTAAAAAGAAAAAAGAAAAAAAAAAAAAAGTTGACCGTACATGGTTGTTCGATTCTATCTGAAAATGCCCAATACAGACGATCTCAGTCAATCCTAATTTTTTTTTTTTTAAGTATCTTTTATTTTCTATGCATTGTGCGGCCCTCCACGGCAGCGGATCTATTGGCGCTTACAGGCAGCGCATGTTCAGGTTCTGCCTCGTCCTAGTTCCATATCATGTTACCGCCAAGGTTGTAGGCTGATCTGTTTTCAAAGGCGCTCCGGTTGCTTCCTTTAGGTCGCGTAGACGGAGACGCTATACGCTGGCTGTTGAAACAGGCACCGCGAAGCTTGTTACAGGGTGGCGCACCTCGATCGCTCCGGCCCATGGGCATTTTTGGGTCGGTTGTACGAAAATGTATTAGAAATTTTCCCTTCAAAACTACCGTCCACCTCTGTGCTGTCAATTTGTCTTTTCCTAACCACCCTGTAGCATTTTTATGCTTTTTTAATAATAATGAAATTGTGAAGAACAGGTTTGGGTGCAAGCCCCATTTGTGCAACTGCGTTAGGATCATTTTGGCCATATTTCTCGCTTTATAAGTTCAAAGCCACACAAATATTGCATTATGTTTTTGCAGACTCTGTTAGTACATATTATAAACGTTAATTTCCGAGAGTTTAAAGAATATTAAAGATGGCCTTTTTTTTAAAGGATTTTCAAAATAATGCATATCTAGTCAAATGCCCCGGTGTGAGCAATTCTTGTAAATTTGTCCCGCTAACCAGGACAACAATATTTCATGCAGAGATGAACTATATACAGGACAACACACTGGCAAAGAAAGTTTGAAGACCTTAGCTTTTATAGATAGAAAAAAATTTTTAATTCAGAGCATTATTGTGCAATGTGCCATGTTTGCGATTTTTTTTTTTTTTTTCAAAATAATAACTTTAATATTGGTGATTAATACTTTTTGTCAATCCTTCCTATGCATAATTTTTCAGTGAATATTTCTAGACCCGTAGCCGGAACAGCTTTTTGGAGAAGCCGCCTGAAATTTCAACATCGCACGATGCGCAAAACGCGCACGTGACTGAGAGAGTGCTTGCAAATTGTTTTCGCAAAGACAAAATATTTTTTTCCGAAAACAAGGATTAGTTTTATCCTTCTGGGCACGGAGCCAGCAAAATATATTTTTTTCATCCAAAATTGAAAATGGTCACCGGACATGGTTGTTCGATCTTATCTTAAAACGCCCAAAAGCATTTGGAACACGACACCGTGACGTTTCGCAGTCATCGCCATGACTCTCCTGTGGATTAATGCAGGGCTGATAACTTTTCGCAATTTCAGTTTCAGAAGGCAATAACTTTGTGAGATGCGATGGCAGCCGGTAATCGTTGTCACTGACTGTCTCATCCACAGTCAGTTTTTTTGGAAACGTTCCAGGAGGGAAATTTCTACGGACGGCTCGGGGCTGAACACATCGCATTCGTGGCATCGCTGGCTTTATCCAGCTCGTGTTAAGTGTTTCCCGTCTGCTAATTTAGAGCTTCTCAATCCTTTTGACCTCAAAGAAAGGTTCGGGACTGACATTTTTGTTTCCTCGTAAACTCTTGTTTGTGTGGTAGGAGCACTTTCTGTAGATTGGTTTCAATAGGTGCATGCGAGCAAAGCCAGTTGCACTCATATGTCATAACAAGAGAATGTCGTGACATGTTATGAAAATAGGGGGCAAAGTTTTGCAATATTTATGCCGTGGATATTCAGGAAAAAAAAGTCCGAGGACACCTAAGCAGTTCTTATGAGTCGTGAATGCGAAAGCATGAATGTCGTTCTTCCGCTCTCTTAGTTTGTCTACGGTGTAGTGGAGTGAACAACCGCGTTTTGCCGGCCGATGGCTAAGCGTGCGCTTTCGTGAAGTGGACGTGCCGCACTGTGCTCGGCCGTACACCCTCTCCGGAGTCTGCCCGGGGGGGCTCTGCAGGCTCCGCAACCGGCCGCTTTCTCTTACCGGTGGCCGGGCCACAGCGCCGCCATGGGGAGGGCATTCTGGTGGCTTTTCTTGGAACTACGCCATGCGAGAGCCAATGGGAGCCTATCCATCAGATTTCTACTACAGACGACATTGGGACAGGGGAAGAGGCCATTTTACGCGGCTTCAAAGCTGTTTACGTTGGTTTGCTCTAAAAAACAGTTAATGCTTTCGTACTAAAAAAAGCACGGGATAGGGGATCTCTCTAGGGAGGGCATTCATATAGGATTTTATGGGTAGATGCAACATATTTTGAATATGACAGGTTGTGTTAATTATGATTTCTTTATGATACAAGCATCTGTGTGGTCTAATAAAGCAGGCATTTCTCAAAGTGTGCCTTGTACGAGAATTGTATGTGAGAACTGTGCTGTAGGTGCGGACTTTGCACCAAGTGCGGACTATACACTGGCTGTGGACTATAGTCCGAAAAAAACAATGGCAACTATACATTTTTTTTTTTACTGCTTTTCAGGGAGTGCGTTGGTTTTTTATAAAATTTTACAAAATAATTACACATAAAGGACAGAACACGGTCCTTTACCGTATTTACTCGCACAATGAACGCACTCGCGTAATGAACGTACCCCCCAAGTCGGCTCTCAAAATTTTGACTTTTTTTTTTCTTCACTCGCGTATTAAATGCACCCCCAACTCAGACGTAAAAATTTTGACCCCCTCCCCGCAATCACGCGAAATGAACCCACTTTTCTATCCTGGTGCAGCGAGGTCGCGAAATGCATGGGTAGCGGTGGGTGAACAAAATTCGCCTTGCAAAAGGCTTTAAAAAATAAAAAAAAAGATCCAATGTAAGCAAAAAAAAAAAATGGACAGGAGCTTTTTTTTTTTTTTTTGCACAGTGCGCGCGCCACGCAAGGGGCGCGCGACCCCAAAGTCCAGACTGTGCTGTGCAATAATACAATACTATGAAAGATAAGCGGAAAAGCCCTCGCCTAAGCAACGCCTAAGCAAAACAGCTTGTGAAAGGCAGCAAAAAAAAAAAAAAAAAACCACGGAAGTAAGAGAAAAAAAAACAAAGAGGAGCTTTTTTTTTCACACTGCGCAGTTTGGTTGGGGGGTCGCGCGCCGCTCGCAAGGAGGTAAGAAAGAGATGCGAAGAAGCCCTTGCTTAAGCAACGCCTAAGCGAACGAAACAGCTTGCGAAAGACGGCAAAAAAAACCAAAAAAACTCGGAACTAAGAGGAAAAAAAAAACAAAGAGGAGCTTTTTTTTTTCTTTTTTTTTTTTTGCCCATTGCAGTTTGGTTACGGGGGCGAGCGCTGCGCGCAAGGAGATAAGGAAGATAAGCGGAGAAGCCCTTGTCAAAGCAACGCCTAAGCAAAGGAAACAGCTTGCGAAAGGCTGCAAAAAAACAAAAAACCCAGGGAACTAAGAGAAAAAACAAAAAAACAACAAAGAGGAGCTTTTTTTTTTTTCTTTTTGCACAGCCCAGTTTGGTTACGGGGTCGCGCCACCCGCAAAGAGATAAAAGTTACCTCGATTTTTCAGGATAAAAGGACCGTTCATTATGCGAGTAAATACGGACACAAAAATTTTACTTCGCCTAATGAACGGCCCCTCCCCTCAACTTTGCATCGATTTTTCGGAAAAAAAAGTGCGTTCATTCTGCGAGTAAGTACGGTATGTCTGCGTTCTGTCCTTTATGTGTAATTCTTTCGTGAAAATCATAAATTTTTATCACCAGCTTTAGGTCTGAGTTGCAAGGTGCCGTCATTAGCACCTTAGTTTCCTCACACTGCACTAACCGTGTTCCTTCTCTATGGCTACAACCCCGGGACTTGCTCTCAGTGTGTTTGACGAAGAGCAATATCTGCGTGACATCCTCCCGTCAACCTGTGACGCAGCTTTCCATTGGCAGGGTGATCCACGGAGGCTTTGCAGTCCGACATTCCACTTGCAAGCCAGGCCCGACTGGCAAGAGTTCAAGGTAGGTTCAAGATGGTTTTGTGCACTTGGGTGTGCCAAGCGGGCATAAGCCCCCAGCAGTGCGAACCCTCGGTTCCTTGAAAGGATTCTCGTCGTACAATGGGCAGAAGTGGTCTCTTTAAAGGGCAACTCCAGTCAGAATTTTTTAATTTGGGATTACAACTGTTTTTAGCTGAAGCAGTTTCCTTAAGGGGGGACATGGGTCTTTGGAGCCAAAAACTTCCTAAAACTGCATTTTTTGAAAATGGCAATAGCCGTTGTTCTTCTGAATCTACCAGGCTTATAATTTCGTGAATGAATATTTCAGCTATAAGTCAATTTATAATATCTATGTGGGCTGCATGTGCATTGAAGTTGACTCTAAAACATCGTTTTCACAAAACACAGTTTTTGGACTCGTTGAAAATTTACAGGAGGGATATCTCATCATCTAGAGCAGATAGAAATATAACTATTCCTGAAATGTGTAGCTGAATGTGTGAAGCATACAATGTTGCGAGCAGATTTTTTAATATAAGTCTAGAAAAATTTATATTTGATCTTTTGCTATATTACTTGTTAGACAGGCATTGAGCACTGAACTTCAATTTGAGGTAAAATAACTAATAATGAGTTTATCTTAAAAGTGCTTCCAACATTGTATTCTCTGCACTTCGTAGTATCTAGCCATGTGTTAAAAAGAATATTTTGTTGAGCAGTTCTTTTTCTATCGTTTTTCCAAACAAAGGCAGGCAAGTTTTAATTATTTTGAGTACGATACTACTGACTGAGAAAATGACCAGATATATGAAATCAGCACAAAAAGCTTAACAAGCTTGTGCAGTTTCATTAAGTTTGGCCATAAAATAAGAAAAAAAGCTCCAAGACCAGTGCTCCCCCTTAATTACAAATAAACTGCTTCAGCCCCCCCCCCCCCCCCCCCCCCCCCCCACCACACACTCCGCGGCTCTTGGAAGTTTCGTGGTTTTGTTTGCGGCTCCTAGGCTGGGTCAGCCTGGCCACCCCTGTGCTAGAGGGTGGCAACACTGATCATCAGCCGTACGGCTGCAACAAGACGTCACAAGGGTGCTGCGGTACACGGTACACGCAATCAAATGCAGCTCCATCATGACGTGACGTCACAAGGGTGAAGCGCCTGTGCTTCACCAAAAGCTAACCCGCTTGCCGCCCGCTAAAGAGATGTTCATGTTTATTAACTTCTAAGTAATGGTTTCAGAAACTTTCATATATAAACACGCAGGATTTATCTCGCAAGAAATTATTTTTGGCAGGCCGGAAGCCCTCCAGAAGTGGGCGAATTTCTATATATATCTTTTTATTTAGGGCTGCCTCATACTTGTTTAACATAGCCAGAACAGGTCACTCCTATTGCAAGTGCCATTTACTCTAGATTCAGACTGTTCTAGCTTTACAAGTTTAACTAAAAGTATCAGTAGCCAGAAGAACCCCATTCATTCTAACAAAAAAAATGCAGAAAATTTGGAATGAACAATTTCATTGTTTGAGACACGAAACAGGGCTTATGATCGCTCAAGCTTAGTGACGTGATATTGTGTTATCTTTAGTCATGCCCTTTTTGACAATATCTTCCACTTCAGATCATATTGCTGCTTTGCCACTCTTTCTTAGTATTGTATTATTTGCCTCTTAGTTCAAAGCTGTTTATCTGTCTATCATCGAGGAATACCTGCTAGCAAAGTTGTATAAGTCACACCACTTTGCACGGTTCTCGCGATTAGTTCTTTAGTTTACGTGCATTGGTGTCGCAAAATCTGAGTTTCGCACAATCGCTAGATTGCACATACCGTTTGACGTGCATTTCGACTCGCGAGAAATGCCGATAGTATGGTCCTGTCTGGCAGGGGCAATCGAGTGTTTCGCAGCAAAAGGACGTAAAATGTGCAAAATGAGAGGGTAGTCGACTTTATTCGAGCGAACGCATGCCGAGCGAACGAAAGTTTAAGGAGCTACACACTCGCGAACCAAGCTTTGGAGCACTAAGCCTAGCCCAGGCCAAGTCCCAAAGACGACGCGAGCATCGATGCGCAGGCAGAAAGATAAACCTCGACATACTTTTTTTCGGTACCTCTAAAAGATTGGCTAGCCACAATCCTTCCTTTTACATGTAGCACCACTGCTGGAGCATGGCACAAAAAAACTGCTCATCAAACGGAAACTGAGAAAGACGGGAGAAAATATTTTTCAATGCGTTTATACCAGCCCACTTACTTTTCAGTGTTATTGGGCTGAAGCAAAAGAATACGGAACTATGGCTTAACTAGGCAACATCAATAACATGCTGTAAAAGCTTTATTCTCACTGTCTTGCCTAACCACATTGATGCACTTTGGGGAAACCATAAAAATTAAAATATCTCGCATTCAGAGTCAAAATAGTGTGGCGACAGCAGTGCCTCCTGGAAGGGGAAACACCACCTATGGCTTCGTAGTTATGGTGCTTTACAAAAGATGGCATGTGGCGTATAAAAAAAATGGCGTTGCACCTCAAAAAAAAGAAATCTTATCTAAGTCGCATCGTTGTGTAAGTCGCACCAAGAAAAATGTTTGAAAAAAAAAAAATGGTACTTATACACAGGTAAATACGGTACTAAGTTTTTCAAATTACCATTTTTCATATTAAAGGGAAAACTAATTTTAAAGCTAATTAAATGATTTTTCAATGTGCACCTGGTGGATGCATGTGGAGCCTATTTGGAAAATAATCTAGCAACGTTGGGGAACTTGCTACGTAGTCATGATGTAGCAAGTTCCATCGGAGCAGTGCCGCTCTTCAGAATTCAACATTTTGCTTCATAGCTTTCCTCCTTAAAGGGGCCCTGCAATGTCTTTTTTACTAATTTTTAATTTGCACCGAACCTAAGCGCACTGAACGTAGTAACTTAGTGAAACTTTTCTTTTCTTGAAATTCCCTTTATTTTAAAAGTTATAGGCAAATTAAAATTACAAAAACAAGCAAAAAATAACCTCCCTCGTGACGTCCTTGGTTGCTTGAGAGTGGCCGTGAACTAGAGAAGAAGTAGTGAGCTCATCGACCGCTCACGGCTGCCGCACTCCGTGTCGACGGCGCGAGAGGGCGCCATTAAAGCGTGTTCTGGATAGGCTGCATACAGCGGGCAGCCAGAGCGGCTCTCATTGCATTTGCTGTGCGATTAAACACTAATTCGGCATGACACTTCATTGGCCACAAACGACAGCAAACACGGGGTAAATATCAGTTCAGAATGGGAGCTACTTTGCGCTGCCATACCGCGAAACGGCCAAACCGCAAGACAAAGCTTCTCACCGATGGCCTTCGGAATGCTCGGAGCCGGTTGGATCCTCCTGCCCATACGACCGCAGCGCCGCTGCATACATCCGAGACCTTTCCGTGTCGGCGCCTGATCCCACTACTCTTCTCTAGTATGCACCGCCTTTTCCACCGCTTGGTGGCGGGTATGTCGACGGGTCATTTCTTTCCGTACTTTATGTTGCGGCATTTGTTTCTTTTTTTATCTAAAATACTGAACATAAACTACTTTTATAAATAATTGAAACGGTTTGTGCCACTTATATTTTGTATTTCGACTAAAAAGAAGCTTTTAGCGGCTCTGACCAGTAGTAAGCCCAGGACCAAAGACGTCACATTTTGCGCGCTTTCGGTACCGCGGGTCGCCCTCGTCGGTGGAGGAGGTTTCCGTGTCGTCCGGTTAAAATATGACGCACTGATATTTAGTTACTCTCTCCGTGCCCGCTGGCTTGCCCGACCCCTAAGAGACGTGGAAACCGCAAAAAAGGTAGACGCTTAAATATGATTGCAGGGCCCCTTTAACTCATAAATCGCATACTGTACCAAACAGTTCAAGAAGACAGAAAGGAGGGACTCCCCTCTTGCTCGGATCCTCGTTTGTGCACCCGGATACTGCCATTCTCCCCCTAGAAGATTAGCCGGTCGCTCAAAATTTGGACAAACGTTGCTTTTTTCACCTCATTCATTCCGAAGCTGACAGTGCTGTGGAAGCTACTTGCTCCTTGGGCCAGCCACACGCTCGTCACCCCGCAGGTACTTCGAACGGCTCGATTGTAATGCGTGGACGCTATTGACACCACCACAACGCTGACAACGCCACCAACGGCAAAGCTCGTAACCACGCCTGCCTTGCTACATCACGAATGCGAGGAATTTTTCGTTTTTGTTTGCGCCGGATATCCCATGATGCATCGCGCTATCCGTTCGCTTCTCTTCGAGCGCTTGCTCGAGTGCACTGTTTGGAACGAAAAATATAGCCAGTTGTTCAAAATACAAATGTGCGATTATCATTTACGGTTATTATCCGTCATGCTTGACTCATTTCCCAACTAAATTTGAATATTTCGATTTTCGTTTTCGTACCCCTTTAAAGGAATATGAAAATAGAAAATCTAAGTTCATAGTAACCGGCTGCATAAAAGTTTGGCATATAAGCCACAAATATCAAGTCTTGATAGTGTCATACTGAAAGCAACAGTCTTATTAAGGTGGGATTTATGCCAAAAAATGGAGTGGAGAAAAACATATCCAAAGTGCTCGAACCTCTACCTTTCCTTTAGCATTGGTGGGCTGAAAAAAATGCATAAATAAATAACTATGCAGTGTAAGCAAATGAAACTTTCTGAGAACCCTCTCTAGACGTTTGCGGACTTAAAGATGGCATTTTTCAAAATCATCTTTTTTTGCAGGAATTTTTTCTTTCCTGTGTTCTTTCCCTCTACAAACCGCAGCTCTGAGCACGTGGAGCAAAAGCTCACACTGCAGATCCTAGGGATCTTAGGTTCAATCCCCACCACACCCGTTTCGATCTGGACGAGCGTCGCATTGGTGTGCAGTCGCGAATCACTACTGCGCGATGCATGTTGAAGATGTCTCGTCTTCGGCGGCGACGCTGGACGCTTATTGAGGCCGGCTAACTTCCCACCGTGTAAACACACACACAGCGCAGTTACTTTACTTGGCAGATCATTAATCCTTTTTAAGATGCCACGGCGTGTATTTCGCCAATAGACCTTTTGCTAAACTACCTGAGCACCGAGGTGCACGACGCGAGCGTAGTTACACCCACCGCACGTGCCTGCCTCTGCGGCACTAACCGATCCGAAGCAAACACCCTAAAACGAATTGCACTTTGCACGCAGCCTTTATTTTGGTTATTTACCGAAAATCTTATATCGACGAGGCGACCACATACGGCGTGCGCAACCACGTTCTGGGCATTTTCATCGGTGCTTCAGTATAATTTGGCAAAAGGTCTATTGCAAAAAGCAGACCACAGCGACATATTTGATTGCATCACCGGTGCTCGAGCCCAACGCATCGCCGCTGGCACTCGAGCCCAATGCATCGCCGCTGGCATTTGAGCCCAATGCATCGCCGCTGGCACTCGAGCCCAACGCGTCGTGCAAGTGGGAAGGAGAGACGAGAGCGGGAGGCACGGTGTGCTTGCAGTGCCACGGTGGCGCCCATGCGGCGCTACGGCTGTTCCCGATGGCCCTTCAGCTGCGAACCGTGCGGCCGCTTCTTCAAGTTCGAGAGCAGCCTGCGGGCGCACCGGGTCTGCTTCCACGGGCTGCCCGGCAGCGAGCAGCAGTCCAAGTCGTGCCCGGAGTGTGGCAAGAGCTTCCAGTGAGTTTAAACGGGACACGTCTTTTGCGGTTGCAGCATTTGCTGGACCGGAAGCGGAACTCTTCCTTTGGTTCCGGTCTACTTTCGGACCTTTCCTTTGCTGGGGGGAAAGCTGCCCTCCGCTTCCGTCCTCGAAGAAGGGCTGGCAGCATGCTCGTCGCATGGGTCCGGACGGCTGCCTCCACCGGGGTTGTCGGTCCCCAACCTCCCCCAAACTAGAAGGGGAGGAGAAAAAGGCAGGGAGGAAAGCCGTGCCGTTTGCGTAGTTGATGTCTTCATCGAAAATGGGCTCATGCACCAAAACTTCCACATTGTTTTTTTTTTGTTGTTTTTTTTACTTTTTGTCATGCGCGGAATCTGCTGTTTTTCATTTGTGCTGCCTTTAGACAGGTGCTTAATCACTTATAATGCAACCTATGGGCTCTAAGCATCCTAAGAAACCAAACATTATATCCGTGTGTGCCCGATTCCTCCATTAAAATAGGTATTGAAGATCCTCGGAACTATTGCAGACACCCAAATGCGCCGCTGGACGAGGAGAAGGCCTTCTCCTCGTCCAACGGCACCTTCTGGTTTCAGAGGTAGTTCCGAGGTGATCGATCTTCGATACCATGCATGACTGTAATGTTTTTTTTTTTTTTTTTTTTTTTTTTTTTTTAGAATGCTCAGGTTTTATATTTCTATGAAGTGACTACAGGAGAACGCGGTTTAGTGCCCCTTTAACCTGATTGTGGAACTTCATGTAGACACTAGCTTCATTTAATTCACCTGCACCTCCTGCACTGCTGCAGAATAGTGTAGGGCTGCATACTTCCAGTATATGTATTGAGATACGACCGGAAGTACACCGCCCTACACTTTTCTGTACTGGTGCGGGACGTGCAGGTAAATCAATTGAGGCTACTGTACGACAGAGGACATCCTACTGCACATCTCGCCTGTCTTTAGCAGTGGTGACAAAGGCAAATCAGAATAGTTTTGTCTGCTTGCCGTGGTTTTATTATGAACTGTTATGTGAGGGGAGCAGACCCTCTTCTTGATGAAGTCACGATAGGAATCTCCAGCATAGTTTTCTTAAGGGGGTGGGGGGGGGGGGGGGGGGCGAGGGGAGGGAAAGGGAGGGGAGAGGAGAGGAGGGGAGGGGAGGGAGGGGAGGGAGGGGAGGAAAGGGCTTTACCAATAGTTCTAAAAAAAAGTGAAAGCTTTACTAATGTTGTCTTCTGTGCACGTCAGTGGTGTATCCAAGAATTTTTTTCTTGGATGCACCACTGAGGTTACTGGAATGTTGATGACTTGAGGGGAGGTCAAAATGCATGTGTACATTGCAGAGTCGGCTGGAAGCCACTGGTGCAGGTAAATTATATGGCCAAATTGACATAACATATAGGGGGCTATTTGTCACAATAAGTAAAATAATTAACGAGAATTTGGTAATTAATTTTTATTTAGAGAAAAGAAGCATGGTTTGATTTATTAAACTTGCTGAGTGTCATCGAAAGGCTTTTAAGTCAGTAGATTTTAGAAAGACTTGGAGCGCATGGGAAGTGCAGTGGCATGGAACAGCTACCAGTCGTGCAACAGGCGTAAGGCTCGTGCAAATGCAGATGATTCATGCAGGCACGTCCAACTTGGATGCATTTTTGGAACCCAGGAAAACAAAATAATGGCGGAGCTTGCGGCCACCTGCACCGCAAGCTCCGTCGACCACACGACGCAGCTGTTAAAAATTAAAAAAAACACATAAAGTTGAAAAAACAGGAAGATGTACTCTGAGTTGATTCAAGAAGATTTCACCAGCTGGCCAAAACTTCAAAAACAACAACCAGAAAAAAAGAAAGACTGCATAAGAAGAGGACATTAGCGACAAAAGACACGAAATCAAATGCCTAGGAGGCCGAGACTAGAGTTAGCATTCGCTACACTCCTCATAAAACACGATTCTGCATTTGATAGTCTGATCAATAAATAAAAATACAACTCCAATTTTTCTTTTTTTTTTTAAGTCGAAATTTTGATAGTTACTAATATGCCCCAAAATTGAGTTCTACAGTTTAATTGACACATCTGAAGTAACAACCCAAATTACGAATCACAATGATTTCTGATTCCTAATTCAAAAATTTAATAATAAGTTGTTGAATTTTTACCTGTAGTCCTTAGAGGCTCTACAGGCAACACTGAAAACATGACTTCAAATGTCGTAATGGGGGGGCAGTACAGCTTGTCCCCGACAGGACCTGCAAGAAGTTTGATAGTTTTAAATGGTTGTTGGAAAAGTTGACGCCAGCAGAGAGAAACAAAGAAGTTTAGCAAAATACTGTTTTTTTAGACTGCCTGCTGAACTTGCAAGCTATACAACTTAGCGACGTCACTTTGCTGGAGAGCGTGGGGAAATTTGAACGTTGGTTTCGGCATCGCCTTCATTTTTCGTTTTCTCGACAGCCATTTTAAATTTATAGATAACGAATGACAAAAGAGGAAGGGCAAAACCTGAGTATTCCAAAGGGCATCTCGCTTGGGTAGCCCAGAAAGCCGTCGGAGCCACCCTTTAAATACCTTGACACATGTCCCGTGCCCAGGACGGAGCTGAGCCTGTCGATGCACCTGCGCACCCACACCCAGGAGGTGCACTTCAAGTGCAGCGTGTGCAGCAAGCTGTACCGCAGCCGGAGCAGCCTCAAGAAGCACGTGGCCCTGGTGCACCGGGCCTGCCTACGCTGCTTCTGCCCGCACTGCGGCAAGGGCTTCCTGGGTCAGGCCTCGCTTGCGCTCCACACCCGCTTCTGCCACAAGGTGTGGTCCCATAGGTTTCTCGGGGAGCCCGGAACGAGAGGGCGCGCAACTGCTCCGCAGCTTGCAGGCACCGTTACGTGGCCCTCTGCTGCCTGTCTGTGCAGCAACACCTAGTCGTTGGATCCTGGGAAAGTAGCGCCATGCCCCCCGTACGATCGCCGTTTCAATTCATGAAACGAACAGCTGCTCCTTTACCTTTCCATCCTTGGTGAGAGACGATTAAGGGGTCCCAGTGACGGGTTGCTTTTTAAAGGCATTTTTTGTGTATCGAGAGTTTGTTATCCACGCACCGGCGAAATAAGCACACATTTTCGCACCGCCACCACGTGGAACGTCGGTGCTGGGCAACGTTGAAAAATACTTTTTCTGTTCTGAAATATTCCATAACAGTATCACTGTAAGAGATCTAGGGAGATAAGCATGGTTGATAAGTGGATTGCATACACAGTGCCAAAAGGCGCTTATATTGGCGAGGAATGCTTTGAGACCGACGAAGCTCCATAGCGATCTTGGCACGACCGGTTCAGAACGACCCTTTTAAAGTTTCGAAAGGGCCGGAATGGTGATAGTTGCGGCAGCAAAAACCGGCCAGCCAATCACCTCGTGAAGTTTTGGTCGTCTGTGTGTTAGCATCTGTTTGTGTCGGGGGGGCAGGCAGGGAAGGCAATGGTGCTACTTTCCAAGGATCTAGTGACTTTAGTTGCAGCAGGTATACGGGCGCCGTCACATGACGAATGTCTGCTGCCGGTCTGTGGGGCCATAGGTGGTTTTTCTGAGTGCAGAATGAATTTTAAGCGAGGACCCTACCTGGGATTGTTGAATTTTTAACTGCTCTCTCAGTTGGCGTGAAATTTTGCAGGTGGTGGTTGTAGCCTTATAGAAGGAGGGCATGCAAACTTTCATTCCTGTGAACCAAGTTTGTGAGGTGCTATACCCCCAGAACGAAGTAATGCATAGCTTGGCATGGAATCTGCTCAATGAATCCATCGTTGAGAAATGGTGTTGATAGCCACATGATTTTTCTGGTGGAATGCATGCCGGAATACCTGTTGCTGGTTACTATAAAAAGAAATTTCACAAAATATGCATTTTCAAACTAAAAAAACGAGGAATTTGTTTTTATTTTTTTACATTTACTAAGTTGTGTTAATTGCAATTTTTCATAATAAAGAAAAATGAAAATGCAAGATCTAAGTTCATAGCAACCAGCTTCATAAAATTTCAATATGTAAGCCGCAAAAATTAAGTTTGATAGTTTCATACTGAAACGATAGATTTATTAAGTAAAATTTAGGCCAAAAAGTGGAACGAAGAAAAACGCCTTCAAAGCGCTCGAACCTCTACCTTTTCTTTAGCATCGGTGGACCGAAAATAGTTTATAAAAAAATAACTATGCACTGTAAACAATTGAAACTTTATGGGAATACTATCTATAGTCGGTGACAGGTCAAGAACGAAGTGGAAGCTCCGCCCACCCCTTTCCACTTTAGTGGAGCAAACACTGGAGAGGAGGCGACCTCCTCTCCACCGTTCGCTCCGCTGAAGTGGAAAGGGGTGGGCGGAGCTTCCACTTCGTTCTTGATCTGTCACCGACTATAGATGTTTGCAGATGTAAACATGGCATTCCTTTCAAAAGAACCTTTTTTGACAGAACTTTTTTTTCTTTCTGGGTAGGATCCCCCTTAATGTAAGAGAGGTTGGGCTTTCTGTTGTGTTGCTGGAACCATGCTTACTTGGCTAAATTTAGGGGGCTAATTAATGGTCTGCCAAATTTAGTGGAATGCCACCATGTATTTATTGCATGTTCACGTGACGTACGTCGGGTCATGTGATCCCTCGGTTCGAAGCCGTAGTGTCGCACGACGTCATTGCTATTAGATCTAGCAACATTGCACAGCGCCAAGTCACACGGGGAGGAAAGTGCGGTGGAATGTGCACAAGTCACCCAACTGCAGACACAGATGAAAGAGTCAGCGGAAGTGTCAGAGGCAACCACTAGCTAAATCCAGAACTCAAAGTTCTGTGATCACCCACCACAATGCCACAAAGGGGAAGCCAAGAATCCGATCCAATCCAATCCACAACGTCACAATGTCACTCGACATCGCAATGTCATGCGATGTCACATTGTGCCACGTGATGCGACATCGTGATGGACATACGGATGTTATTTTTTAGGCTTTGTGGATTGTTTATTAAAAAATAAGACGCGAAAGCTACACTTTTTTTTTTTTTAAGAACTTTGTGGCTGCGATGTCAAGGCGTGTCCCATTGGTGCCATTGTTTGAAATTTTTTTTGGTGGCGGTGTTGGGTCAGGATGTATAAAGGGAGGGAGAACTGAATAAAGTGGTTAGCTGTGTTTGAGACGTCGTCGTGTTTCTTCCACCCAGTCTCAGGTGGTAAAAAATGGTAAACTTACACCAGCTCACCTGCGCCCTAACTGTTTTTTCACGCTAAACTAGTTAGTGCTGGCGAGTTATGCGGCCAGGGGAACATAATATAGGGGGCTGTCACAATAAGTCAAATACATAACGAACTAAAATCTGTTATTTTACTTTTTGATTAGTGGAAATAAACGTGGCTTCAATTAGAAACTTGCTGAGCATTGTCGTACACCACTAGATTAATGGAGTTTAAAAAGATCTGGAGTGTGTGGGAAGCATGATAGTGTGCTAAATTTACCACTCATACAAAAACACAAAGCTGGCAGTGAAAAAAAACAAAAGAAACGGTTGATTTGTGTTTTTGCATTGCCAGCTTTGCACTGGTTGTTGTAAAGCCTACAAAAAAAAACCTGTATATTGGTAGTGCATTTTGCATTAGCGAATCTAGGCGGCGCAATGTCGTGCTGTCATTTGATGTCATGGTGTCGAGTTGTGCTGTCACTTTACACTACAACTCGACACTCAACGTTACTAGACCTAATATAATGCTTGAAACACAAAAGATTAAAACACTTAGGGATGGACACACACAGACGGGACAGTTCTTTCAATTAGCAACCGACGTTTATGATGCCTCCTCAATGGGTCAGAAGCGCTGACCCATTGAGGAGGCATCATAAACGTCGGTTGCTAATTGAAAGAACTGTCCTGTCTTTCTGTGTCCGTCCTTGTGTGTTTTATCTTTTCATGTTTCAAATCATCTATGCCAACCTGCTCTGTGTTCATGTTCAGATAATGCTGTTGACAGCACATTACACCATGATGTCAAGTGACATCACATTACGTCGTAACTTTGCACCGTGATGTCACACGACATTTCAATATGACACCACGACTCGACTGATCTGGCATGGCCTGACACACTTCACAAGGTCACATGACCTGTAGTGGCTCCAGCGACGCTACCGCATGACCCGTAGTGGCATACCGTTAAATTTAGCAGAATGTTAGCCTGTCAAATTTAGTAGACGTGAGCATGAGACACAAATTCTAAATCCGCTTTTGTTTGGATGTATTCTGCATTAAAAATGTTGAACTCGTCTCGAGTAGGGGACCGATTCAGTGCATTGACAGCTGTCACAATTGCCGTTTGCACGCAGGCCAAGGCAGCCCAAGAAGTGCCGGAAGCCGTCGAGATTCCCGCTGCACCCGAGCCCATAGTCAGCCAGGAAGAGCAGTTGTGGCAGTAAAGGCACTACTAGTACTGGCTCGTCTCTTGTACAAACTGAAGCCTCATCGGGCCCATTCTCGCCGGCAGGCTAGCTGGCAAATCATTTTGTGCGCGCTTTGTTGAAAACGATTTCGCTGTGCGGCAGTGGCATGTGGGCTCGCACACTCATTGCGTGCAAGTGCGAAATGCGCCTGGCGTTAAGAAAGTTGGAATGTGCGATTCAGTCACGATTCTAATTTTCTTGGTGTTCCACACGGGCGACAGTGTAGGGCAGTTTCACGCGACATCCTTTCGGCTTGAATGCTCGCGAGAATTCTTGCTAGCGAACCACTGCACATATTTCTGTATGTGTAGTGGTAGCGTTTTTCAGACCATTAGTTTCTATGGGCGGCAGTTGGCCGTGCCAGCCGGAGAAGTTGGCGACAAAAAGAAGCATTGGTTAATAATTGATTTTCAAGAATATTAGACATTCGGAGTATGCTGCCTGGAATGCATCTGCGACTGTTTTGTTTAGCGTAATAGTTGCAAATCCAGCAAAAAGGACGTCACCGTTTTGAACTGAACTGGTCACTGAACTGAACGAAACGGGTCCTTTCGCGCTCGTCCCTTGTGGCTTCTGTGATTAGATGTTGTTGGCGGTTGGTGCAATGGAACAGCTGTTTTAGTGACTCTGTTGTTAGCTGTCATGTCAGCGTGTTGCCAAAATGGCTCTGAACACAACCTATGCTACCGCGTGAACCAGACATTGTGCACCTATGAACGTTCCTCAGGTCAAGCCCCTGGAAGCTTGGTTGCACCAACACATAGCCGCAGGTTTGAAACCTAGCGCAGGATATTTGGGGCAAGCCATTTTGGGTCTAAGGCTTGCCTGCTGAAGCCCAAACATTGTGCATCGATCTGGCACATGGTCCAGCGCGACCTGTCTAAAACCGCCATATTTTTCCGATAGTGGCGACCCCTATCGGTCGCTGGAGTTACAAATTCTGCCCATGCATCGAAAGCGGTCCCAAAGTGGCAACAAATGATGTTGCGAAAGCCGGAGTGTCGTGCTCTTGGCTGCTGAAGCTTGTGGGCCGTCAGGTTGAAGAGCAACCTGCAGCACAATACCGTAAAATTCCGTAAGAACGCCCACCCAAAATGAAGAGATAAATTGGCGAAAAACATGGGGTGTGCTATCTTTGCGGAGGTGACAGCAAAGCTTTGTCAAAAATTAGTGATAAAATACCGGGGCATCCGCTAAAATTCACGTGAAATGGGAACTGATACTGCCAATTGCAGGCATAGCGAATTCGCGTTCCATGCCACGATAAACATGCGGGAATTTGCTACGAACTCCTGTGTCACGAGAAAAAATATGGCAGATTGTGAATGCAGCAGATCTTCTCACGGTGAGAAGGACGCTCGGGAACTTTCAGCGAACTCGCACGTCACGGGAACCGATACCGCAGATCATGGATGCAGTAGATTTGCGTTTCATGGTGCAATAAACATGCGAGGATAACTAGTCTGTCACAGGAACTGACATATCGTGTACACAGACTGTGGACAAGACACGCCGAAACCTGCTACAAATCTGCATGTATCGAAACGTATACTGCAGGCTCGCATTTCACAATGCAACAAACAGGCAGGAACAACTTGTGCGTCACGGAAACCGCGCATGCAGATCGCCGACAAAAACGTGTGAATCCAGTATGAATTTGCTTGTCATACGTACCGCTACCACAGATCACGTGGTCGATGTCATTTCCGTCGGATATTGCGCGATGTCCGACGGGAGTGGGCAATGTTCTGGAATTTTAATGTTGTTGATTTAGCCAGAAAAACGTTAAGGGCGATCTCTCGGGGGAGGGTGTCCTTACGGGATTTTGCGCTCGGTGTCCGAGACGTATGTTACCACTGCCGCTGCGACACCGCCAGGATCGCAGCCAGCGACAGCATGACGCCTCTCCGGTGTCTTCGGGCGGAAATCAAGGGACTGCCTTCTAGGACGCAAGAAACACCTTGGTAGCAGACTTGTTCCAGACACCATAGTTTGAAGCAAGGCAAGCTAGCACTCGAGCAGTTGGTGGTCCGATCCCAGCAATTACGCGAGGGGAATCAACGGCTAGGAAAAGATTGTATACCCGCAGAGAACTTTCTGCGGCTATGCAGTCAAAGGTACAGGAGCGTACTCTTTAGCGCCTATTAAACCTGCACGCTTCTCTCGTCGGAAATGCTGGAGGAAGTTGCCCCACTATAATGAGCGAGAGTTTGCACGACTGGAATACATTCCTTATCACGCATCAGTTCTAGTGGTGCCATGCTTTCGAGCCGTAGCAAAACCGAGAAGGACGCAAATAGTCGATTGTGTTCATGCAATCCAAAGTGGGTTGACCTGCATGCCTGTACATGTAGGCTAGATACATTTGTGGAAGCTTTGGTCTCGAAACACTTCTATACTTCCATAACTAATAGTGGAATGCCGAGTAAGAAAGCTAGCGATAGGACAGGCAAAGTATATTAGATTCACGATAGCAGTGATGGAAGTGGCATTTGTCCTTTTGTAGCAGGTTCTGCTGCAGGCAAAACACTGATTTGGAGCAATTGACCGTCGCTAAATGAGTTAATGTTTGATAATAATTGAGGGTTCCTCTTTGGTATTGGAGCATATTACTTATTACCTTTCGTAATAAGAATAGATAGCTGGGTGTAAAAGGAACATGGAGCTTACTTTTTAGAAAGAGGATTCTGGTCAGAGTAGGTTCAATTTACAATGGGTACTCAAAAAACGGTTGAAAGATGAATTGCATAACACAGGGGTCTCAAATTCATTTAAATGCCAGGCCAAATAGCCCACCCCCTAAAGGTCGAGGGCCAACGCAGGGTGAGGGGGGAGGAAAAGGAAAAGTAAATTATGAGTGAAAAAAAAAAAAACAGCAATGGCATTTTATGTTGCAAAACAACTGTGTCTGTCTCAATTACACCCCAGAGACTTTCTAAAAAAGGGGCCTCGTGCTCTAGGCTTTTTATAAACCCGCCGTTTTGCCAGTGACATATCTAGCTTCGATAGGCTTTTAAGACTACTTTGGGCTAACACGGGATGTGATAAAGTTAAAATGCCAATGTGCAGGCATTTTTCAGTAGAGCGGGAACAAGCAGGGGCAGATTTATGGGTCCGTCCGGGGGGAGTTGGCGGAGATCTGGCGTTATGGTTGAAACGGTGCCCAGATCTATTTTGTTGACCCAATATTTGCTATGTCACCAAAAACTAAACTTTTGGCTGGTGTATATCAATGATTTTATTTAAACAAAGCTGACCTTGGGGAGCTTATGGGGAGCAAGTCTACAAGGGAACAAGTCAACTATCGTTCCCCTGTAGCACAATTTGCTCGCCTTAACATGCGGGCAAAAAAATATCTTGTACAACATTTTTTGCCTCAATGATTTTTATAGCGGCATCATATGAAAATATTTATATTTGAAAGGTATTTTTCGAGAGCTAGAAGCCCGACGTCATTGCTTTATGTTTGGCAGTTGCTCCTACTGAGCGAGAGTTCATGCAGCCGAAATGTGTCCTTGAGCAAAGAGCTCACCTTTTCGGCCTAGTAGAGTAGTGGTACTGTTGTACAGGTGATTTACGCAAGAAAAAGTTGAGGAAATGATTTAGACAAAGAAATACTTCGTCCAAAGTCGAATAGAATAGTGCAAAATGTGTGAACACGTTATATGAACAGAGCTTCTTTTTGAGCGGAAATGAATTGACGATTTAAAAGGCTCGAGGCAGGCCTAAGCACTTCATAAGAGTTATGAATCCGAAAGCATGGACGCCTCTTCTGCTCCCTTCTTTTGTCTGCGGCATACTTGCGTCGACAATCGAGCGCACGCGCCATCCTCGGCATGTTGACCTCGGGCTTGGAGCGGTGGAGCCGCTGCCTCGTGGTTAGCAGCGCCATGGGGTGGCAGTCGTTGAAACTGACGCGCAGCGGCCAATGGGAGCCCCGTCGACGCGCGCCAGCCAATGGGACTGAGGTGGAAATCCATTAGCTTCACTCCACTCCCTTGGGGATCGGGAAAACTAGGTGCCGTTTCGCTAGGTTTTTTGCGTGGTTTCATAGCTGGGAGCTGGCTTCACTTGGAGAGAGGATTTAAGGTGCAGTTTGGTGCAATTTCAAAGCTGATGACGTTGGCTCGCTCCATGGGACAGTTAATGCTTTCACATTAAAACTTCATTAGGGCGCATGTAGCGCTCGAGGCATAGAAAAAGGAGCTTGCAGTTGCGGGATGCTTGCGGGCCATGTCCGAAAAAAATCGAGGGCCGCATGTGGCCTACTGTTTAAGACTCCTGATATAGCTCAACACTTCAATTGGGATAAAGCCTCTCTCTCCCCTCCCACTTTTAGACCCGGTAGTTTATTTAGCCTGTAAATATAATTTCTGTAGAACGACTAAAAAAAACAGATATCCACTGAAATATGTCCATCAATAAAAATGTTCCCCCCCTCTCCCCCCAATTTTACGAACCTACAAAACTAGAGACACCATTCTTATGAACTGCAAAAACAACCACCTACAAATATTAAAACTTGCACTTGTGCTTTAAAAGCGAGTGCTCTTTAGCAGCCTAGGAACCAGAGTAAGTTTGCTGCTCTTTCGGTCGACAGTGGCACGGCAACTACCTTGACTACCGTATTTATTCAAATATAGATCTTTTTTTTTTTTCTTGGTGCATTTTTATTTATTATTTGAGTTTAACCTAGAATTAAGTCCAAAGAAGTTTCGAGCATAATTTCTGAGCCTATCGCACTAACCCAGGATCTTGCCCATGTGAGCAGTTGTTCCTAGCAGTCCGGTGCAAAGCGGCGAAGCTCGACGCACGCGCTGGTGAGAGGCAGCAAGGAGGCGTGTGGCAGACATGATAATCGAGCCATCTCATCAGGAGTACAAGACTGGTTCTGTCCTATTAGCCGTCATCCTACTATCTTGCTATGTTTCCTCGCGACTTTTAGCTCCCGACATAAGTCTACATTGTCTGGAAATTTAGACGATGTCGGCGGTTAACCGGCCAGCACGGCTGACGAGCAATCTCTAAATTTCATTTCACCTTAATTCAAAGTGCAGTTGAGGCTACGACCCAATGGGACCAACCAAACAGTATCAAAACGTGTCATCGGGGCATTCACCCATCTTCCTGTATGTCTTCTTCAACGAAGCCCATCAAGTACAGCGAATGTGTCCTGTGACTTGCGCTTTTAGTACTGGTGTTTGTATGTGTTAGAGTCTTCGACTGTGCTCTGTCCTATGATGAAAAGAGAGGCTCTGAAATTCGTATCTGTACCTTTTTCCTTTTCTCCTATTTCCCCGAATATTAGGAACAACCAATAATAAAAGATCTATATTTGTTGCTTTGCTTAAGCCTATCTTGATCCAGCTGTGGCCAAATTCTTCGCAAAAATAGTACTTTGGCGCAAGATGTAGCGGACTTCGTTCATGTCGCGATTTGGTGCAGCACTTCCATCACCGCAATAGAATATCCAAAAACTGACGAAAGCTAAAAGGATAGGTACGCAGAAGCCTGTTTTCTGTTTAAAAATTTATGTTTGGCTATTTAATTAATTAATTATTTAAATTAATTTAAATTTATTTAATTTTAGAGCATGCAACGAGTTTGTTTTCGGAAGCATGCTTGCTGATGTGTAGTTTGCTCAGTCTGCTACAAGCTTAGCAGGAACAAAGGTGAGTCGGTCTAACATGCCAGACTTTCGAAACATGCTGCCAACGGCAGCAACAAAAAAATTCAATCTGAAGAGGACCTTGTAAAACTATTCACCTCCTAACTGCAAGAAAATTTATGTGTACCAACAGGTAATGGCAGGAGGAAAGCTGTCTGAATGTTAGACCCAAGCATGTGCTGGCAAGACAAATGAATTTACTCTCGATTTTATTGAAGGGCATTTCTTTGCCACCTGAAATATACTATGAAACAGCTGAATGACCAATCAATGTCTTAAATGCATGTTCTTGCTATACTATTTTAATCAAGTGAACGGCTTTTCTTCCTCTGAGCAGTAAAAGTTGAGAAAGCCAAGTCACTTCAAAATAAGAGCGCACAGAAACAACTGTGAGACATATTCAGACTCTGATCAACACGTGCAAAGAGTTCAGTTTCTTGCAAAGACAACAGGAAAAACTCAAACAGAAATCGAAAGCTCCACAAATGCAGAACCATGGCTGTAAACAGTGCTTACCAAGACTACGTTATTTGATCCCCGAGGCTTTCATCCAAAAGAGATTGCATTAACAAACACTATCATTATCAGGAGGGGGTGCCAACTAATGCCATCTGGAAGCTTTCAAGCACTACCACCTTTCAGCATATATAGCTAAGCATTCGGGATCACTTTCCAAATGGCCCAATCCGTAGCAAGGACCCATGAAACTGAACGAAACAATCCGAGTGTGGCATCCAGACACCCCTTTTCTGTCGTACATTCCAGCTGCCTTTTAACAAACCTGACCACCCATATTCCAGTGGCCTCCAAGTAGGTGTACATTGCATACATAACATACATCATATATCTTGACCAATGAACTGCACACACCATTGTGAAGCCGATGCATGCCACCTTTGTGATGGTGTTTGTAGCTTGTTTATGCAAGTCCAATACATCTCGCACCAATGAGCTGCAAGTACCATTGTAAAGGTGACGTACGCAATACATCCATACATCATATATTGCAAAGGCGATGTATGAGGCACATCACCTTCGCAATGATTAGATACATCTCGCACCAATCGGTTATACGTACCATTATGAAGGTTATTTCCATCTTACATCCATTCATCGTACATTGCAAAAGCACTGCACAATGCACATCACATTAGCGAAAGTTCGTAGCTCAATGTGATTCAATACATCTCGCACCAATGAATACAAGTACCATTGTGATGGGGATATCCATCATACATTGCAAAGGTGCTGTAAGATGTACATCACATTCGCAATGTTATTTGTAGCTCGATGGTACAATTTAATACACCTCACACCAAAGGTATGAGGTGCAAGGTGATGCCCATCATGCGTCGTATGTCATACACATCATGTATTGTGAAGGCAGTGTATGGTGTAGCTTTGCAATGGTATTTGTAGCACACTGGTGCAATTAGATACATCTTGTACCAATCGGTTATAGGCACCACCATGGAAGTCCATTGCAAAGGCGGTGTACGATGTGCATTACCTTCACTATGGTATTTGTAGCTCGTTGGTGCAATTCAATAGATCACAAAGGCACAGGTATTTATGGTATTTGTAGCTCAGCACGGTTCAACAGACAATGTCGGCAGTAAGCGTCCAGCGAGCGCGATCAGACTTGGCGCTCGACGCGGAAGCTCATCGTGATGAGGCCCTCGATGCCAGCTTCGATGACGTCCCCCTCCTGGACGGGGCCGACACCCTTCGGGGTGCCGGTGAGCACCAAATCGCCCGGCTCGAGGGTGAAGAGGCCGCTGGCGTGGCTGAGCACAGCCGCCACGCCGAACAGCATGTCGCTGGTCGAGCCACGCTGGCGCTCGATGCCGTTCACATTGCACCAGAGCGTCAGCGCCTGCGGGTCTGCGACGGCCTCGCGCGGCATGAAGGCGCTGACGGGGCAGGCCGTGTCGAAGCCCTTAGCGGTTTCCCAGGGCAGGCCCCTGCGCTGGGACTCGCGCTGGACGTCTCGGGCGGTCATGTCGAGGGCCAGCGCGTAGCCGCCCACCACGTCCAGGGCCGTGTCTGGGTTCAGGTCGCGGGCGCGGCGCCCCACCACCACCCCCAGCTCCACCTCATGGTGCAGCTCCTGACAGCCGCGGGGAATCTGCGCACGGAGCGTGCCGCTTGAAAGCGACGGTTTTGGATGGGAACCTTGTACGGATCTTTCTTGCTCTTGTTGGTCTCACCAACGCTGTGGTGTCGTGTGACATTAGTGTCACATGATGCCACAGTGTTGTGCGACGTGACCACAATTTCCCCGCTAAATGTAATCGGGGAATATCTGATAGAAAGTGCCGCCTGTTAAAAGCCTGATCGAGTACTACTGCACGTTCATTGCATTGGATGGAATGCCTAAGGAAACTAAGGTGATCGGAAAGCTTTGTGAGAGACGCTATAGCCTTCATCTGTAAAAGACTGTCGCTGCGGCCGATGCTGTCCGTGTCGTGGTGTATGTTTTTTGCCTCACAAAATCCTCAAAACGTGTACCTTCGAACAAAAAATTGGCAGCAACCTATATCTCCAAAGTCCTAAAGCGCATGAAATGCAGTATTTGAGCAGCAATCATTTCAGTTTGTTCAGACGACGTAATGCAATTGTTTTGAGAGTGAAGAACCTATAATTCTATAAATTTCCCCGCTGAATTTAGCAGGGGAATTGAATTGGTGTATAGGCCAGATGACATCAATTTTCCTGCAAAATGAAACTGCCAATTTTGTCACTAAATGTATTGAGGGAACTATATTGGTGTATAGGCTTAGTGATGTCAAATTCCCCACAGGAAAACTGAATGAGTGTTCAGGTCATGTGACGTCAATTTCCCCGCTGAATTTAAAAGGGAAACTGAATTAGTGTAGAGGTCGTGTGAAGTCAATTTCCCCGCTAAATTTAGTGGGGAAACTGAATTGACATTTAAGTCACGAGACATAGATTTTCCTGCGATGTTTAGCGAGGAAACTTAATTGGTGTATAGGAACAGGCGGCGTTCCAAAACAAATAAATGACTCTTGACAACAGACTGAACAGCTGCACTGAACTGAGGATTATAATGTGAATGAGGCAGAGAGAGGTGTATTCTTGGGGCAATAGAATGGGAAAGGTACTTGCCTTAATTGGATTGCCCTCTGTGACGTAGGCTGTGGGAGGCTTCATAAACAGCAAGGGCTTCTCTGGAACTTCATTGCCGAGTTCAATGGCATGGTCCCTGGAAAAAGAAAGACCTTCAGTGCAATTGCACGTCGCCAGCTTTACTGCTCTTTACTTTCAAGCAAGGGGTTCGACAATGGATCAGTCAGACGAGCTGTCACAATGTATTGGTCCGACGGCTGCCAAATTTTCCATGAATCGGATCACTTGCAACAAACTACTTGTACCAATTTTATGAATCGGAAGTTGGTTACCAATGTGCATCACAGATGTTGCGCCAACGCTGTCTTAAGAACAATTTGGTCCCTACCCGTTCAGGGAGCGTAAACAGCGTCATCTGAAGTATAACAAGACCGAACTGCAGAGTAGGCTAAACAAAAACTTGGGAAGACTCGCATTTGGGTCGGTGCGTTTTGATACCTTCGACGGCAGATTTGGTATTAAAAGATGTAAATTGGACTGTTATGTGCTGCAAAGCGTTCCTATGCCGTGGGGAATTGCAATCTCCAAAACCTATCCTTGAAACTTTAATGCCCCCGCGCCCCACTCCTTTTACACATTCACAGCCAAGGCCCATTCGTGCAGCAGTGTTCGGCAACTCCTGACTGTGTTGCCGTGCTTGGAAGCTGCCCCGCACAGATGCATTACTTCATCTGCATCTGCGATGAACAGGCTGGCGACGGCATTGGGCATAGAGTCCCGGAAACACAAGCTGTCATAGAGCTGGGTCTGCCTGAAGAGTTGGCCACTGCACTTGTTGCGCCAGGGCACAAAGCGGAGTTATTCGTCTTGCGGAGTGTCGGGACCGATTATTTGGACCAACAGGGATATGGTGGTTACGTCTTGCTGGCGTTGGCTGCAGGTACAAGGACAGACTTATCTGCAGACCCACCTCGAGCATGTTCCTAGGCATGCTTGCACAATTCATGTGGAGGGCAAGTTTGTCTGCTTTCTGCCCAGGGGTTGCAATGATGTCAGAACGCCGAGCTCTTATTGGCCGACTGAAAAAAATAGTGGGTAGACCTCGAGTAGGGTGACCACCTTCCTGCTAGAGGAATGCGGGACACACGAAATGGGGGGGGGGGGGGGGATTAGAGTAAATTTATGAACACGCACACCACGAACCGAGGCTCTGTTAACACATTTAATATCATGTGCGGTTTATACACCTGAAAATTGTATTGCAGCAATTAAGCTAAAATATGTTATTAAAGGTGTCGAAACTGACCGCTTAAAAATGAACTGCACCACAACTCAATGCACCCAATGAAATTAACAAATTAGTGATGCACCAACTAGCTAAATTATCACTTTTTTAATTAAGAAAGATTAAGAAACAGCAAATATTTTTCGGGTTATTGTTTCCGGTCAACGCTTACTTTTATAAACATGGTCCTACACACATTGTTAACATTATGCCCTTTTTCAACCGTTGCGAGTTGCAAGCTTTTTGACTTGCGTGGCTGTCTTCACTAAAAAGAGCTTTCACAGCAACCGTCTTGCATTGACACAATGGTATGAAGATAATTACAATAATTTATATTTAAACTTTTGCCAAGCGATTTTCTCCATAGTAACCCTGAGACGTAGGAACCTTACAATATTTGGCCACCAAGGAGAAAGGTACAACGGCGCTTGTACTTCAAATCAACTGCAAGAACGACGGTCGCTTCCCTCAATGCCTGAATAGAAAATGAAGTACCACTGCAATTCACGCGATTACCAGCAACTTCCGCGCTTCCTTTGCCCCGTTGCTCAGCAGCACCATGAGTTGCTGAGTGAATTTTACGACAGTGTGAAATGCGGGACATTTTGAAGATTTCGGAATTTCTCGCGGGACATGAGCCCTCAATGCGGGACAGTCCCGCTAGTTGCGGGACGGGTAGTCACACTAACCTCGAGGCACCTAGCATTGACGTCCTACCCACTATCCCTCCAAAGTCAATGAGAACTCGGCGTCGCCGCAACCCACGCGCAAGAAACAGACGACCTGCTCGAACTCCGCATGCGTTGAACATGTCAGCAGATAGTCTTTGTATAACCAATGTGACGTCCACACAAGGAAGAAACACGCCTCACACAATGTCTGCACTGTCTTTTGTACGATGTACCAAGGGCATGACCGCGGCTTTTAAACTTCTGGTGTTAGGACATCCCGTGGTGGAAGGCAAGAGCCTAGTGTGCTTCGGCAGCAGTCAATGTAGCCTGCTTTCTGTTGGAGGTTCCAAGCGTCACCTGGGCTGAAAGCACCTGTGCACAGACTCGCCATGAAAGCACAAAGGTTTCGCACCAAAGTAGGAAATCGTCCGTCGACATTCTCTTTTTGTGTGCCTTTCCACCTTGCGTTCCTGACTCCCGCTTGCTATTAATGCATCGTTCACCATGGAGTATTATGTACCAAGCACCAAACGCAGCACCATGCCAACCGGCCAGTCATCCAGTTTTCAATTTCAAACATGCGCCCAAGTCGAGACATTTGTCCAACTCCCTATCAAAATTAAAACGAAAGCTTAACGTGGCCAAAATCGAACACCCACTCTACAGTTATCATCATCACCACCATGAAGGGTCATGTGAGAAACTATCGTATATCTGATGGTTAGTGCCGTCCCAAAAGTCGCTGAGCTGCGATGCTAACAGGGTTGTCGGTTTCGGTTCAGAGCGATCCTAGCAGTTGTAACGAAGGCCGACAACTCATCAGCAACTCCGAAATTGCAGGGAAGATTGCCTCATATGGTGTGGGTCAGCCCCCACAGGGAACACCCTCGGTCGGACAATCGCAAGGAATGTTGCACCCAAGTGTCAAGATAGGCCCCAAAGCACCTGTGGCTGTATCCACTAGCCAGTTGCGCCAGTGTGGCGGAAGCGCAAAGCACGTGAATTACCTGTAATTCCTCCCCACGCATATGATCTTCCTGCCGAACTCCGTAAACCTGCTCAGCCTCATGATGAACAATCTGGACAGCTACTGCGACTGACCGTGACCGACGACGTGACCCGCGCCCCGTCGTCCCTGGATGACTCAATATCTGTTGATTTGATTAGCTTCGTTTGTAAAGGAGGGTAGCTTGCGCCACCTAGCCTATAACATTTACAGTCTCTAATTTTGCTGTCCAGGTTTCTCTGCGTTTGCGTCAGTCTGAAGGTGTTTTTCTTCAACAAGAGAGCTTAGTTATAAAACATAACTGCAAAAGCTCAATAAAACTCATCTGGCTATGTAATATTTTTGCATTTACAATTTTTATTTTAGCATTACTTTTGTTTTCGTAGCAAGTTTGAAAAAAGGTAGCCATCAGCATCAACATAAATGGCGGCCTCCTATGTGACATGCGGTGTGTGAACGGTATGAACTGCTGTGTGAATAGTTCAATAGTAGTTTATTCCACTTGTTTGTGCCAAACGCTTAAGGCGTGCAAGCGGTGAGGAAAGGCGAAAGAAATACGCTGCCTGTTGGTGTGGCTTTGTCTCCGGTGCCGTGCGAGATGGATGCAGTCTCCAAGCAGCGGAATGTCCTGGCCGAGTGCTACGGGCTGCTCGGGCAGCTCCCGGTGGACGTGGCTGACGTGGGCGGGGTTCTGGAAAGGCTGAACGGATGCAGCTTCGCTGTCCAGTTTGTCAGCAGCAGGGACGCGGATGTGCTGCTGGTGAGACTGATCAAGGCCCTTCCGTGCGTAGACGACGGCCTAGTTTCAGGCCTCTGCCTGCTGGTCTCCAACATCTGCACCAAGCAACAGGTGACTCTGGAGGACAAGACTCTACATACGCTGCTGGAGTACCTGCTCCGTTGTCTGCGCCTCTGCAGCCCATGGGTGCTCCCCGCTGCCGTGGATGCTTGTGGGGCGCTCGTTTACGCCAACATGGCCAGGCTGGAGCCGCTCTGGGAGCAGCTCCTCGCCAGTGGAGGCGCCCTGGAAACTCTGCTGCGACCTGACGAACCCGACGGCAAGCTCAGGCTGGCAGCCCTGCGGACCCTGGGAGCCATGACTGTCAAGGGGGAGCCCCCGTTGCCCGACTGGTGCACTGCTCGGATGCTGGACTTGCTCCTGGACTGTCTTACCGACACACACTGCTCCGACCCCAGCGTCCCTGTCGAGGCGTTGATGACGAGTGCTCTGAAGTCCCTGCAGAAAGTTTTTTCTACCAAGTGGGGCGTGCGCAGTGACCAGCTGGGGAGGCTGTTGGGAGTCCTGAAGCACCTGTCATTCCACGGGTTCCCTGGACAGAAGAGTGTGCGGTGTCCAAGCCTCGTTCCGAGCCCGCTGTGCCTCCACCTGCCGGTGCCCCAGATCACCGAACAGTTTAGGCCCGTGACGCCCAAAAAGCGCCGGCGCAGACATCGCAAGGCTCAGGGGGACGAAGGGGACACTCCACAGGACGTGGAGAGCAGTGGGAAGACATCTTGGAAGGGTGCGTCCAGTTCAGACTCTGAATTCTCGGACTCTGAGAGCGGCCAGCTGGCCCGACAGAGGCACCAGCAGAGCTCCGTCCGGCGCCACGTCTACCTGGCACTGCGGGCATTGGTCAAGGCAGTGGACTGCAGAGAGATGTTCAGCTACTGGCTGCACTTCCTGCCAGATATTCCCGTGACCCTGGGGGCCCCTCAGACACAGACAATCCTGCTGACCATTCTCAGAGACCCAAATCCACAGGTCCGAACAGTAGCCTTGGAGCTACTGACCGACATCATGAGTCACTACAAACCGTTCCTGGGCCTTGCATCGCATAGCGGAGTGCAGAGGACTGCCTTCAGGACGCTGTCCGAGACCGTGGCCGCCATCATTGGGGAAGTGCACCGCTGCCTGCACCTGGCCCTCATTGCCGAGACCTGCCCTGCGCAGACGGTGCAGCTGCTCAAGTGCCTGGCTGCCGTGGTCTCCGGGTCACCGTACCACCGACTGCAGGCTGGACTGCTCACGCGCTTGGTTGGAGACGTGGCAGCTCTTTTGGACCACAGAGATCTCCAGGTGCAAGTGGGCTCTCTAACAGTTCTGGGTGCTGTGGTGGGCATGGTGCCTGTCTCAAGGGCAGAGGTGGAGGCCTCTCTGCATCCACAACAACTGCTGGCGACCTGCGCTTCCAAGCTGCTGGTCTCTGACGAGGCCCTGAGGATCTCCTCCACGGTGGTGCGTGTGGAGGCACTCCAGCTGCTCACCCTCCTGTTCCAAGGCAGCCTGCTCGACCTTCGCGAGTCTGCAGATAAGGTTGTGGCAGTGGTCAGGCTGTGCCTCTTGGACGCTCATCTGGCAATCCAGCTTCATGCCATCAAGTTGCTCGGTGCATTCAGCAGGGAACTGTCCACCTCTCTGTCAGCAACGTCTTGCACAGAGGAAGCCCAGAGCCTCTTGAAGTTGGGTCTGGACCTGTGGCTGACCTGTGCCCTGGAAGGGAGCTTGCAGCGCTGTCTGCAAGACGACTCACTGCCTGTGCTCCAGGCAGAGGCCTGCAGCTGCCTGGCCAGTGTGGGATCCCAGGTTTGGGATGCCCTACCAGAAGACAGGAGGCTAGTGTGCATCACCCTGGTGCTTGCTCTGGCAAAGGATGGGGTGGACACCGTAGTGCGCAATGCAGCCATCCGCTGTCTGGGGAACCTGTGTGCCTATGCGTCCCTGCGAGAAGATCTGCTCTTCCTGATGGACGTTGGTGACGTGGTCTTGGAGGCCCTGGGGGAGCCCAGCCTCAGGATGAAGGCCTCCTGGACACTGAGCAACCTGACTGAAATGCTGGCAGACCTCAGGAAGCAGGGCTCTAGGACTGAGGTGCCAGCAACCTTCCTGTCATCCCTGGGCACTGCGGCCCTCTGCCTACAGAAGGACAAGAACCACGCCCAGGCCAATGCTGTTAGGTCTTTGGGCTGCCTCTTGCAGTTTTTTACCAGGGACCATCTGGGAAGAGAAGACATTGGCATGCTTGTCGTCAAGTCTGTGGATTCCCTGATTCAGGGTTTACGTGCTGGGCTAATGAAAGTACGCTGGAATGCCTGTTACTCCCTGGGAAGCATGCTCGCCAACGAAGATATTGTTGCCGGGACAAACGTGCGGCCTGTGCTGGATGCTCTCCTCGGGAGCCTGGTCAGCTGCAGCAATCTGAAGGTGCGCATCCAGGCAGCGACCGCACTTTGTGCACCCCAGACACGGGCTGCTTACGGATCTGAGTGGGCCACCGTGTGGCGAGGCCTGCTGGCTGCTCTTGAGGCAGCTGATCAGCCCGTGGACTACCGGGAGCTCCAGCATCAAAACCAGCTGCGGGACCAGTTGTGCCTGAGCATCTGCCACTTGCTGGCACTAGCAGAGGCCCAAGACATCTCAGAAATCGAGCCTGCCAGCCGGGACTACGAAGGTCGGATTTTTAATGCCTTTAAGAAAGCTTTGTCGAAAGAGGCGATTAGAGAAAGCTTGAAGAGAGCACACGACAACTTGGCCAAGGAGAGTGATGATCCTTGCTGCTCCAAGACTACTAGGGTGCTGCTGGCTTCTCTGCTAAATGGTGACTTAACTGAGCTTCAGTCGCAGATGCACTCTTTGCAAGTCAAATGAGAAGGTTTTTTTTTATTTTTCTTAAAGCATGAAGTGCTTTTTATCAGGACCCCCAATCCTAAAATTTTCTTCGTCCTTGCATTTTCTGCTAAATTTAGCAGGTAACCTATATTTGTGTTTAGGTCACGTGATCTATACATCAGGTAAGTTTGCCTGTCAAAGTTGGCAGAAAAATTTATGCCACGTGACCTATACACCAATTCAGTTTTCCTGCAAAATTTAGCTGGAAAATTGACGCAACGTGACCTGACGTCAAGTGACCTATGCACCAATTCACTTTCCCTGCTAAATTGGGCGAGACATCTGATGTCACGTGCCCTGACGTCACAAGACTTAGACACCAATTGTTTCCCCACTAAATTTAGCAACAAAAAAATGAAAGCCGTTTACAAATCCCTGTAACGCCGAATTGGAGCGCAGCTCTTGAGGAGGAGTAGGGAAGGGTACTGAGGGGGGTCACGTCACCTGCGGGTAGTCACGTGACCCCCCCCCGTCCCCGGTTACGCCGACGCCGCTCAGGCTGGAAACGGGCCCCTAAGAGCTGCGCTCTAAAAGTGAAAGCCGTTTACAAATCCCTGTAACGCCGAATTGGAGCGCATTTTTGAGGAGGAGTAGGGAAGGGTACTGAGGGGGGTCACGTCACCTGCGGGTAGTCACGTGACCTCGGGGGGGGGGGGGGGGGGGGGGGGTCACGTGACCTTCCCTGGTTACGCCGACGCCGCTCAGGCTGGAAACGGGCCCCTAAGAGCTGCGCTCTAAAATTAACATCACTTGACCTGATGTCACTTGACTTACACCAATTCAGTTTCCCCGCTAAATTTGGCAGGGAAATTGTTGTCACATAACCTGACGACACAGGACGCATACATAAAATTTTTTCCCCCAATGCTAGCAGGAAAACTGACATCACATGGCCGATACACATAGTTGGTGGGGGAATTGATGTCATGTGACCTATGCACCCAGTTTCCCTGCTTACTGTTCCGGAGAAATTGACCGAAATAAACATCCTTCTTTACTCCCCAAAACAATGGTTTAATGCATTCTAAATAATTTGAAACAATTGCACCTTGAATACTGCATTTCATGCATTACAGGACTTTAGATATAAAGGTCTCTGCCAATATTTCGGATGTGATATATATGCAATGCTTCATTCATAGGAAGCTTCCATATTTATGGATAGTTGGAACTCTAATGGGATCATAATATTTAAGTAGCTCATTTAGCTTAAAATTTTTAGTTTTGTTTAAAACCACTGTAGTTGTACTTATCATACATACATTTTAGCAGTGGCGTCACTAAGGAGGAGGGGGGATTTGCAGAGGGCGACCACTTTGGTTGCCGCTGGCCCTAGTGACGCCACTGCGTTTTAGCAGTACACTTTCATGATGTCACTGATACGTTGATATTTTGCCAGGGCCCTGTGCAGCAGCATGTTAGTGATCAACTATTCTTCCATGGCTTTTGCCATTTCTCATTGGCCAGAACACGCTTATATTGTTTGAGGCTTCACTGTGATATTGCGGGAAGAATAACGGTGATGTGTGATTCAAATTAGGCATGCCTTCGAAGCGAAGGGGAATAGAAAGGTAGGGGTTTAGGGATGTTGGCAAAACGGCAAGACTGAGAAAAGGGGAAGGAAAACCCCCGGTTGGGACAGCTGTGCTTGAAAGCCAATAATGGGAGTTCGGAAACACTCACGGGGGTTTATCTCGGAAAGGGATTGATTCGCGGGAAGAAAATAGCAGCAACCTAGATCTAAAGAATCATCACAGAAATTGGCCACAATCATGAAATAATTATAGGAAAAAACGAAAGACGTTTGCAACTCCCTGTAAGGCCGAATTAGAACGCAGCTCTTGAGAAGGAGGAGGGGAGGGTACGGGAAAACGCATAGGTCACTAGTGAGACCCGTGCATCGCATCGTGGGACGTTTCCCATAATGCAGCACGCGGGACCCTCGTGACGTCATGTGTGACGTCATTACGGGAACATCCCATAATGCAACGCGCAGGACCCTCGTGACTTTTGTGACGTCACAAAAGTCACGAGTGTGACGTTACAAGGGTCATGTCCGCGCAAGTGATGAGTGAAACCAGCGCGTTGCATTATGGAACGTTTTGGCGTAACCGTGCGGTGCATTGTGGGGCGTTTCAGCGTAACCGTGCGTTGCATTATTGGATGCTTCTCATAATGCACTGCGCGGTTACGCCGACGGCGACGCCGCTCAAACCGGAAACAGACAGATAAGAGCTGCGCTCTAAAATGAATGTTCACTTGGAAGACTGGTGGATTTATAGATACGGCAGGAAGAATGCTACAACAGCAATGATGGAAGTGCTGTGCCATGTTTGAAAGTCTGCTACGTGTCGTGTCGTGCCAAAATGCCATTTTTGTGTGTTGACACTAATATTGAAAGAAGTGAAAGCGGAGGAAAATGGTAAAAACATGTATTTCACGGTTTCTCTACTCGCCGTAGATAAAACTCGCTCATCCACTGCACTGGCTACATCATCCTCTTAAAGAGACACTGATCCCCCCCCCCCCCCCCCCCCCAAATTTCTTGTTTTATTTTTTGCCAGGCGATTCAATATGGTGTCAGAAGACTACCACATAAATGTTTTTCTAGTGCCACGTATTGGCGACGAGCGCGACCGAAAGCGTCGCTGTGGTCGGCCTTCCACGATTGGCCGAACGCTGAGTTATGACGTCGGAAAGGGTATATCATTGACGGAAACAAGAGGAATGAAAGAATTTCAATTTTGACGGTGTTGGAAGTGTTCCTTTGAAAGCGCAATGATTTCAAGCTTCCACCATGCTATTTACAAACACCATCGAACTTGTTGTTTGCAAGGTAATGACGTCACAAAGGGGAACCGTAGGAGGGCGCCACCATAACTTCTCGCCGCTAATACTTTTATAAAGTTAACGAACCGCAATTGCTCGAAACCAAAACTGGACTGGGGAGGAAGAAATATAGAGAAGGAAAAAGATACCGGACGTCACGTGGCTGTCCAACTTTATTTTTTCTTTCAACAAGCGTATTTGCAGTATTTTAGAAGTCACAAAAATGGGTGTCGTATTTTTTTATATCTTTTGTCCATTTCTAGTATTGAATGTGTGCCTTGGATGACCCACGACTTTGATTATCTTTGGTGGTTGTGTCTAAACCATAGAAAACGGCACGTGGCCACGGAGAAGAGACTGAGCGCGACTCGGACCGGCCAGTTCTCGATCGGCGGTTTTTGGGGTGGAAAGAAAACGAATTTCGAGCCACAAATTGTCTTCTGGGTAGTCGGGCTGTCATATGTCGTGTACAAATAAAAACCTTAGCGAGGATAAATACCCGGTTAGTATCCCTTTAAAGGGATACTACGATGAAATTTCGGCGCTTATTTTTGGTCTGTTCGTGTTCAAGGGAGCGGTATCACATCAGACGCGCCAATATCTTGTTAAAAAAGACATGAAAAGGAATTTTAAAACAAACGATTAGCACAGAGCACCTGGTAGGTGTCGCTAACACCTCGTTTGAAATGCCCGTCTAAAAACCTTGACATGTACTGTCAATAACTCTCTCGCCTCAGGCTACCACAAGAGAAGAGGGGAAGGAGGAACACCCATCTCCCCGAGACTATCTTGTGTCCCAGACGTAGCTATTGTCCCTCTACAAGAATATAGAAGATTAACCCGTCACTCAAAATTCGTACAAACGCAGCTTTGGGGTTAGTTGCGGTGGCCCGATCGCTGTCGTGCTTCGGCCGCTTCGGTGGCTGAAACGGCTAGGACATCCTCTCGACGTGAGCCTCGCCGCAGCTTTGCTCATCCCCAGACAACCTGCGTCACGATTGCGGCGGATGTCACGTGCTCTCCGCTTGCTGCTCTCCGAGCGCTTGACAGAGTGGACCGTTTATAACGAAAAATACAGCCATCAGGCTCAAAATACAAACGTGTCATTGCCATTTACCGATATTGTGGATCATATTCAGCCTATTTCTGAACACGACGGGTATTTCGAGCTAGAATTCGCGAGAAAAAAAAAAATAAAAACGGTGCTTTAGTGGCTGCTGTGATTAGGCAGAACCAGGGTCTCATACTCTTGATGAGATCACTTGATTTTCATCTCAGCCGCATGCCTCCACGCCGTGGCACAATCGCCGCTCGAGCCAAGCTTCACCGCATTGCATCAATGTGTTAGGAGAAGTGGCTTACGCGGGGGAGCACCCATAGTTGAGCTCGATGGGCTCGGGAATAGACCGACCTTACCAGCCAGTTTGACTACGCCACCGCTGCCGCAATGCATCGAGGGAACTTTAGTCTTTCTGTACGCGCAACAACCTTGCTGGAGCTCTGTGCGTGTGGAGCACGAGAAGGCACGAGCCCTCGCATGCACGGCCGTCTGCCTCTTGTGAACAAAAGTTATGGTGGCGTCACGCATGCGCCGAACACTTGGTGAGATCGGTCTATTATGCTCAGTACTATTCCAGGTCGGCTTTTTAGAGCGCAGCTCTTAGGCGCCCGTTCCCGGCTTGAGCGGCGTCGCCGTCGCCGTCGGCGTAACCGCGAGGAACTTTCATAACCCTCGTGAGGGTTACGAGGGTTACTCTCACGAGGGTTACGAGGGTTAGTTACCCTCAAAAGGGTTACCCTCACGAGGGTTATGAGAGTTACCGTCACGAGGGTTATGAGAGTTACCCTCACGAGGGTTATGAGAGTTATCCTCACGAGGGTGACGAGAGTTACCCTCACGAGGGTCACGAGAGTTACCCCCACGAGGGTCACGAGAGTTACCCTCACAAGGGTTACTAGGGTTACCCTCACGAGGGTCACAAAAATTACCCAGGTCACGTGACCCTCGTTGACGTCATCGCCACTAATGACGTCACCAGTGACGTCACTGATGACGTCACCAGCATCCGCATCGTCATCATGACTGATGACGTCACCGGCATCCGCATCGTCATCATCACTGATGACGTCATCAGTGACGTCACTGATTACGTCACCGGCATCCGCATCGTCATCATCATCATCACTGATGACATCAGTAACGTCATCAGTTATGTCGCTAATGACGTCATCGGCATCGTCACGTGACCCCGTGACCCCCGATGTCACGTGACACCCCACGGTCACGTGACCCCCCCGCCACCCGAGGTCACTTGACCCACCCCTCCAGTACCCTTCCCTCCTCCTCCTCAAGAGCTGTGCTCTAATTCGTCGTTACAGGCAGTTGTAAACAGCTTTCTTTTTTTTTTTTTCTGGTCCTGAAAATAGGTCGATCGAGTTTACAGAGCGGCACCGAGAAAGGAAAACGAAACAAAAAATGTGGACCTACAAAAAATGTGGACACCTGTTAAAGTGGGACACCGCCGAGGGAGAGACTGTGGGACGGATGAGACGTGGGTCGATGCAAGGAAACAGTCATAGAGCAGCATTTGGATTCATTGGAGAGCAGCTGTTCTCAAAAAATCAACGGTAGCTTGTCAAAATCGGATTGAGGGAAAGTGTATGAGGCAGGCGTTTTGATAGGGTGTAGGAGGGCCAGTTAGGTCATCAGCATAGAGGGAAGGTGTGCACTCTAAGAAAAAATGGAGGAAAAAAGTGGCAACGGCGCGTCTTCCTCCCTTCTACCGACACGCCCCCAAGCGGACACGAAAAAAGGGGAGGAACGAAACGTTTTTCTCCTTCTCCAGGCAGACGGGAGAAAGCTTTCGCCCTCCCGACTCATCGTCTTTCGCTTTCGTTTTTCGAGCAGGTCGCGCACGTTGTTTAATAAATAGCTGTTGAGTTGATTGAGCTTCAGCGGCAGTGAAGGCCGCCTGTTATTCCGTCTTCTAGTCTAAACGTGCAGAACATTTCGGTTGCATTGACGTTTTTATCACTAATTTTATCAAACGAGCAAACGAAGCCGCTAAAAACAGCGAAGTTCCGGAGCAGTGCCAGCAGCGCCACGTACACTGGGGAACCTGGGGAATGGCTGTCTCCGGATTGCGGGACTCTCGCGGCACGGAACCGACGGAACTACAGCACTACAGTCACTACAGTAGCGA